TGAGGGGTTTATAATTTTTGTCTAGATAGATATATCAAACTATAGCTTTAGTTTTTTTTGGTCTTTATTAAGATAAAACACTGATTCCCTTATGTTTTAGTACGGAGTGTGTGATGAGTTTTTATTCCTGCCTTAATACAAGTGTATCTATAAGCAAATGCTGGTTTTCAGTGTTCAAATAACCTGTTGCACTAATCCTGAGATCTTGATAGTACTGCAGATTTTTCTGGAGCATTTTGTGTGAGAGCTTTTAATCCAGAAAAAATGCGCCTTTAGGCATAGAAGATAAACTGTCACTATACTTGACCACACATGAGAAGAATAGGATGAATAACATCAGAGCAAAGGATTGTATTATTAGTATTTGATTATTAGGTATTAGTGATCAGATGTCTCATTAGCAGACTGTTAGGCATAAAAAATTCATATTGCATTCCAAAGTGGCTCAGATTTTCTAGTTTTCTGTTTCACGGTATCAGACCTTTATAAAAAAATATTTTTGTGTAATTTTTCGTGAGAAGTCGTTACATTGTTTTAAGCAACAATTTTGTCTTAAAATGCATTGAGAGAAAAATTTAAAAGGCACGTGAAAGATAAAACATGGCATGCCTTCATGCTCATGCCTTTTCTTGCTCTATTTATTATTTAATAACATTTAGTTAGGTCTGTTGCTTTTTATGGAATGCAAAAGTTAAATGACTCTTGTCCCCATAGTTACTTGCTCCTGTAAAACACATGAGGAAAAAAAATGTAGGTGTGCAAGGAATACCTTGTAGAACTTCTTTGTTTTCATCTTCAGGGAGAGAGGTTTGGAGAGAGCAGGGAGAGTGGCCCTTCTGGGTACAAGGACTTGCAGAGAAGTCACCCTTCCACCTGTCTGGGAGCAGCAGGGCAGGCTGCTCCATGAGAGAAGGCAAGATGGGAGCTGAGGAGGACGGCAAGACAGGCAGGGAGTTGTCCTCGTGAGCAGGGGCTGCAGTACCATGGTAGCCAAAGAGGAAGATCAGAGCAGGTTCAGTGACAGTAAGCAGGGACAGCAAACAGCTCAGTGGCCTGTAACCATGAATCATGTTTTAGGTCAAGCCAGGAAGTCAGGTCAGTGAGTCAAGGTCATGACCAGTAAGGTATGTAGATGTAGCTCAGGCAAGGACCAAGGGCAAAGGCCTGAGCTTGAAGGCAGTTCTTGAATCAAGCAAGAGAGGCCTCCAGTGAGGCTTCTAGCAGCTCTTTCCACAGCAGTCCCATCCCAGGTTTTACTCAGTTGCACTGTATCAGAGCTGGCCTTGAGCATGGGCAGCGGAACTCCTGGCTGGGGGCCAGGGGAAGAGATGATAGAGCCTGTTGGCGTCCTCCAGGACCTGACATAACCAACCAAACAGGGAACGTGGGCACAGCACAGCCTTCAGCGTGGGTGAAGGTAGTTGAAGCTACTGTCATTTTACCACCACTTAGTTGGGTGGTGAAGGAGCACGACCTGTGGTGGCAACCACCTCCTGCAGTAGGTAGTGAAATAGGTGGGCTGTGTCATGTATAGCCCAACAGCCCGGCATCTAAGCTGTGCTGGCAGCATTCAGTGCAGGACCCGCTGTTGGACCATGGTGGTTATTTTCCAAGTCAGTTGCGGAAGGTGAACATAAACTAGAAAAAATTCGGAGGAAATTCAGTCTCTTGAATGGAAGATAAGGTGAGGTACCTGTATGTACTTATAATAAATTATTTTTATTTGAGGAAAAAAATAGAAATAATCCATCATTGTTGGAATATAACTTAATCCACACTGACAGCAGTTTTTAATTTTAGCTGTGCATGGAAAGGACACATGCAGAATAATGTAATGAATGTTTACGGTTCTTTTCTGTCAATGTAGTGTTCTGTTTTGGGCTTATTCCTTTTAAATTCAAGTAGTTTCTTGTGGAAACAGACACTCTGTAACACTGACAGTTTTTGATGTTTCTGATTTAAAGAATAATTCTTCTGCCTCAGGAGAATCTAGCCCCAAAATAAGAATAGGGTGTTCACAGTGCTTTATTTTTAGATGTGTGTGCTTGTATTTTAGAAAAAGTAACTCCTAAAGTGCTTTACATGCTAACCTTTTATTTTTTTATCTGAGAAGTACAGGCACATGCGATTTTTGTGGCTCTTTGCCAAAAGATTATCATTTACATAAATATTTCTTTCAGAGGCGTAGTTTAAGACATTGAGCTCAGGAGGTTAGAATAGAGACTTCAATCTGCACACCAGCAGTGGGCTATTGGCTTCTGAACAGTAGCTTTGTTCATCGTATTCAGAACACTGTTCGCATTCAGACTTAAGTAGAGCTGGCATTAAAATTCAGCTAATTTCTTTCATGTGATTCATCAGCTGTGTGTTTTATTTAAATCTATGTCACATTCTCTTTTGGCTTTTTATTTTGTAGATTTAAGTGTTGAAGTAGGCCACTTTTTAACTCTTCAGTCCCTGACTTAAAAAGTGACTTAATTTTCATTTCTCCAGTGTTGAACACTTGTCTAGAATACTACAGTAAATATATGTATGTATATTGAAGTGTGCATTAGTGATTTGGGGTTTTTTACATTTCTGATGTATGAATAAGAACGTACATGTTTATAGTCAGCTTAGTCATAATTTTATACAAGGCAAAATAGAAGAACCAAAGGCAGTATCTAAATATTAGTGTATAATATCCACTTCTCAGATTCTGTTGCGTATACAAGTTTTACTTTGATACTGCCGGTGTTTTCCTTTGACCATTGACTCGTTTTGGTGAGGACAGCTTTTAGCTCCTGTTAGAATTCTTGAAATGCTGTTGGAGAAGGAACCGTTTCCATTCTTTGAAACAGTAACCTACTTCTGCGTGTGAAGTTTCTCTTCTTACAGAAGTACCACCTTTTATTCTGTTAAGGCTGGAGCCTGTGAAGCCTTACATGCATTGAACTTCCCTAAAGTGAATAATCCCACTGCCATCTGGACAACTGCTCATAATGATTTACAAGATCAGAACCTTTGTTAGAATTGGCTACACTTGCTTTTATGCTTTATATTTGTTACATTTTTCTGTGCTGTAGAAGTAACGACTGACTGTGAATAAAGTTATTCCTATATTCTGCTTATGACAGCATGGTATGGCAGTATCCTCCATCTGTTAGGTACATGGTCCATTCAGATGTTTTCTGGTAAAATTTATCAGAATTTGTTAATTCTACTTTTAGTATAGGACAAGACTGTCCTGAAAGATCAGGCTGAAAGATTAAAATACATTTTTAATGTAAAAGAATTGCACTTACTTCAAATATCTGTCAATGATCCTCAATTCTTCTATTTATCTTAATTTTAAATGCTAAATATTCTGTGTAAATCTGCCACTGTTGTCTCTGGAAGTGTTCCATGGGATTAAAAATTCTACTTGTTATGGAGAATCTAAAAATAAAAATAAAAGACCATTGCTTTAAAAAAGCTAACAAATTGTGAAACAAGGTAAGATCGTTCAGCTAATGATAGATTTAGTTCATTGGCTGTATTAAAAATACAATTCAATTACAGTTGCTTGGGTTTTTTTTTAAACTGTTACGTTCTTTTCATAGGCACATGAATGTGTATTTATTTATTGTAAGATATTCTTGGTTGCAGTTTGGTAGGTTACTGAGCGTACATGAAGGCTCATTTGTTCCTTTCCATCCATGCATCAGGACACTCCTTTCCCCTGTGACAGCTCTGGTGGTTGCCTTAGCTGCTTTAATTGTCCAATAATCAGAGAAAACTCTTAGGCTTTCTTTGTGCTATGCTAACTTCTTCGTTTTAGAAAGTTAGAGCAGCTCACAGAGCAGTCATCGTGTCTATGCTTTCATCCCTTTTCATGGAACTGTGATCATAATATGTCTTTGGGAAAAGCCATTAACTAGTGAGGTGCATCATTCATTTTATATTTATATAAAGTGTTGTTTGTTTTGTTGTGGTTTTTTCCTCAGAACTTTTTAATATTCTTACTTTAAATATAGCACCGTTATTTCACTGGTATCCATACAGAGTGCTGTCAGTCACTTTATACTCATTACTATAACCGTATCGACCGTTCTCAGTGCATTCTTTCACTGTTTTCATTTTTATTATACTGGGTGTGAGAAGCATTTTTTTTAGTTTCAGTAGTCTTTAATTGAGATTATAATTTCTCATTTGGTATCAGATGAGATACCAGTCTTAATACTATGAGATGAGAGGTCAAATAAGATAGATCCATCTGATGCGTCATGTCAGCCTCCATCCCTTGCTTGCATTTGGTAGGAGCTTTTCATAAACTTCCACAGGGGTAGCATTTAATCCTTCTCCTCATTCCTTCCTAAAATTGTCCTTTATACTAGTGTTTACAAAAAAACCCCACCATTTCTTGCCAGTAGTCATAATGCATCAATAATCCCTTATATTGATCATGTCTCATTCTTTTGTTACCTTCTGTTTATGGCTTCATAGAAGGTGAATTACTTGAAAGCAGGCAGTTGTTCTTCCACTTTGTATCATGAAATCACATACAGTTGGGTTTTGAACGATGTCTAAAATGCCTGAGTGTTCCTGTTACAAGGAATGTTAGTTTAAAAATGAGATTTTTTTTAACCATGGAATTTGTGACTAGGGTATCAGAATTTCAGTGAGTGTTTGAGGTTAATGTTGATAAACGTTATTTTTGCTTACTTTGGATTTGATGTTGCTAATCTATAAATTCCTGATCTGATTTTAGCCTTCTGTATGGATTTTTTGAGATTTCTCTGAAGCATACAGCTAGATCATATTACTTAACAGTTTGAGATTTTTTTGCATATTAGAAAGTGTTAAATTGTTCTTTCTGCAGACAGTGTAGCTCCTACGGGTTCTCTTCATTTTCTGGAGAACAGGGAGAATGGATGCAAGTGTACTGGTATTTCTCCCTAGAATATTGCTATTGCAAGTGGAAGTCATACTGTAATGAACATGGTTTATGATTTATCTGATTTTTTTCCCCCCACCTCCAGAATTTCAAAGAATATTCCTACAACTAAAGATGTTGAACCTCTACTTGAAATTGATGGAGATATACGGAACTTTGAAGTATTTTTATCTTCACGAACACCTGTTCTTGTTGCACGTGATGTAAGAACCTTTTTGCCATGTACAGTAAACTTAGATCCCAAGCTACGAGAAATCATTGCAGGTGAGTATGCTTTTGTATAAATGGAAAATGACAATTGTATTATTATTTTAATTTTAGGTAGAGGTGCTTTGCATGTTATGCAGAATTGTGATTTGTTCATCAAATCAGACCCTCAGATTGTCTGATTTGACTTTCAGTTTTTCTTAGTAGCTTTGATGTAAAGACCAGATCATGCTAGACTAAAGCTCCTCTTTTGGAGGGGGGAGAATGCACTGTTCTTGATTTGAAGACTGCTTTAGCAGATTGAAGGAACCAATACACACAGTAAAATTTTAGTAGTAGAGATGCAAGTTGCATTCTAGATCTTTGTTAACAATTTTGAATAGCATCAGTAAGATCCTGTAGAACTGAAGCCAGTGAAACAAAGTGGAATTTCTCCATCTGATGTCTACCCAGCTAGACACCTGTGTGGTGGGTACCTGTGAGTTACTTTTTAGTCTGCTATAGTATGATACTTCAATTCATCCTAGGCCAAGTGTTGTTTATAGTACAAGTATTTTTTATTGTGCAGTGGTTGTTAAGCAGTTACCTTTGCTTGCTTGTAGTCTCAAAAAATGCAGTTAGGTTCAGGTATGTTCTGTTCTGCAAAAACACTCTGCTCAGCATTCTATGTTCTGACCTCTCATTGTTGCTGTGGTTGGCTGTGGCACGTGGTATGGCACTTCTTGTCCAGTCTCAGGGATTCCTATTGCCTCTGGAGTAAGGCTAAGGCATCCTAACATTTCAAACTGTTAAGAGGTGCTAAAGCTTTGAAGAAAATCAGAAATTTAAATTTAGAAAAGGATCCTTATGAGTCTTTAGTATAACGCTCAATATTCTAGGTGGGAACTGAATTCAGGTATTAATAGTTCTCTTTGCCTGTCTTTTCTGTTGTGATGTTTTTCTTCAGTCCTTAACTGGAATCCTTTTTGTTCTTATTTTTTTTTCAACTTCCTTCTCTGCACTGGATGGCTGCAGTGGGATGGCCTAACTTTGTTCACAGGCTCTGTCTCATTAATCTCTTCAGAAGGAGTACAGGTCTGACTACCACATCAGACATACCTCGTGTGATGTTTTGCTGCATTTCTTCCCATTTGGGTTGGGATTTGTAACTTTTTCTCTCTGAGAGAGAATGTTTAGAGGCATTTAATATGCTGTGTAAATTTATGCAATAAATTGTCCTAACTTTCCTAACGACTCCTGTGTATATGTGATCCTCAAGAGAAATCAACTGAATGCAGCTGAAAGTGACATTTGATGTTTCACTTGAGTTCTGCTTGGAGAACATGATACACAAAAATGTACTGTGTAATGAATTGTCAAACAAATTAAAACTTTTTCAAATATTTCAAGCAAAATCTCATTCTTTTTAAACTTTTTCTTTTCAGATGTTCGTGCTGCGAGAGATCAAATGAATATTGGAGGACTTCCTTATCCCACGTTGCCTTTACATGAGGCACCTGCTAGAGCAACATCCCTGTTCAGTCAGCCTTCATCAGCTTGCTCTTCTACAACCTCTTTCAACGGACCTTTCAATAGTGGAGTTTTATCACCACAACCTCACAGCAGTTACTATAGTGGTATGACAGGACCTCAGCATCCATTTTACAATCGGGTAAATAATCGAGAACCAATTAACATTCTTCTGATTTAATCTGGTAATATTGCAGATGTCATCTATAAAATATTAGAAGACCCATGCAAGTTTTATTTAGGAATGGAGAAAAGTCCAAAAGTTGGCAAATTTCACAGTAATGTTCAGTCACTGTAGTCTGGGGGAAAAATGTGATAAATTACATCAGAAAAACAAATTACACCAGGAGAAAAATGTCAAATAATTTTGAGACACTCCTCGATTATAGGATATTGCAGGGATTTTTTTATTTTTGTGGGGTGAACTGTGCTCAGTCGTTCATATACTTGCTCACAGACATTGGAAGGGATCCCAGCTTTTTCCTGGTGACTTTGGTTAAAGCATACAGAAACTCAAGGGGGGAGCTACATCACAAGAATGTATGTCTGTCTTCCCTTTTGTCTCTTTTTAAAAAGTTATTCTGGGATCTTTTCCCTAAACTGTTTAAATTGCACTAAAAAATACTAGTTTAAATTGCATAAAACATAAATTTTTGAGCTATTCGTGGGCCTCAGAAAATGTAGTCCTGAGCATGACTCACTTGAAAATTGTATGAAATACTTTATAGTCAGATCAAGTCTAAACATTCTATTTTGGGGAGATGTATTCAGTATTTTTAAACTTTATTTTTACTTTTTTTTTTCTGCAGTACTATCAGGAAAAAAAAAAGTAGAAAGCTGATGTACGTCATAGCTTCCTTCTATATACAGGAAATGGCCTCAACTTTAAGTAGATTTGACCATAGGTAAATGTTTAAGTTAATAAGCTGGAAAGAAAATTAAGTTATTGCTAAATCAGTGTTTGTTAACCAAGGCACAAAAGAGTACGTGTAGCAGAGAACTTTTTAAGTTATCTGTTCTAAATTTATTCTTATGTACCATTATTACATTGACAATATACTATTTTGTTTAAAATAACTTAAAACGGCATATACTTTGAAGTAGTTGAGCATGCTTGTCACATGAATCTTTGTGCTGATACTAGCTCAGCTTTGTTCAAGTAGATGCTTAATTGAAAACCCTGGGTTTGTGTCTGTGTTACTGTACATGACAAGGTTTAAAGTATGGGGTGATATACAGGGGAAACTTGTATGGGTTTTTGGGTCTACTAAGCTTTACAAAAGCAATTATTGGTGAGTCATAAGATGTTCTTATAATCGGTTTATTTGTTCATTTGTATTAAGTGTATACACAGACTTACAGGCATACTTTTTTGCCTGCTGAAGACTGAAATACTTCTGTTTTGGCTTTTCTCTCTAGAATTTTTTACTGCCCTTCTAAGGTATAATTGATTTTAGTGTTTCACACTTTCAAATATTGACAAAGCGCTATATTCATTACTTTGGACTCATAAAGGTGCTGTCATGAACAGCACATATTAAGATAAGTGATGAGAACCTTATAATAGTAGAAAGTTTAGACTGAAAGGCTGTTTCCTTCAACATTTTCAATCATGTTTCACTTCTCAGGCTTTTGTAAGAATGGTGTTTAAAAAAAGAACAGCAGCTGAAGAATAGGCTCTCCCCAGTAGAAGTTTGAGACGTCTTGGATACCTGTATGACACAACACAATGGATTCAAATACTTCTGTGGAAATACCTGAATTTTATGCAAAAAGTCCTAAGTTCTGAGGATAGATGCCTTATTCTGACCAGTAAATGGTTCCTGTCCTGTTGTCTTTAAGCAATCATTTTTGCTTAAGAAAAAAGCCTTTGAGCCTGTTGGGGAAAAAATGGTTTGTTTTTTAGGAAATACAATTATTTTATTATGTATGTTTCTGCTTTGTTCTTTAGGTGCTCCTGTGTTGTGGAACTTGAACTTCTAGTGACACAATCTATTAATTTTTTATTTAAAGCCCCATTGTCCCTCCCTATAAGGGAAAGATAATAGTCCCATTCAGCAGCTCTTCAATTTGGCTTTTTTCCTACAGGACTATGCTGGATGTGTACATTTTACCACTGTCTAATGGCCTGTCTATAAGTTGGATTCAGGTTCAGCTTCTCAAAATTGCTGCTATCATGGATCATTGTGGAGACCATGTTTCTTATGGGGAAGGTCAGAGCAGTAGGCAAGACTAATGGGGATTTCCTGGGTGGGAACTAGAAATTATGGTACATGAAGACTTTTTTTTTTTTTTTTTTTGCAAAAGAGGAGCAAATTCTTTGATATCTTGGAAAAATAGTGAACACCACACTTATGCTTTATAGGCTATCTGCAAACTTTGAGAACAGCTCTACATTGCTTTATGCCCAACATGTATTTATACTGTTCTCATGTTTTCATGGTATCTGCATTACATACTTCAAATGAATATTGAGTGTAGAGTTCAAGCCTATAATGGAGAACTAATCCCACGGTTGGGAAGCAGTGGAGCAGCTGAAGTGGGCTCAAAGTGTAATTAGAAATTATGAAAGAATTGTGAGATAATTGCCTTATTGGACAAATTTTTTTAATTGCTTTGTAATTTGATGACTCGCTACCAACAAATAGGTGCTCAGTACGTATTTCAGAGGATAGTCTTTGCAGTGAGAGCTAGGCCCTTGAATGTGGTATGATCATTAAATATTTCATGCTTGTGGATTTTCCACGTGGTTTAAGCTGTTAGTGGAAAACTGAAGCATTTAATTATTCTAGAAATAACATGAACTTTTTTTTAACAGAGTTTAATTTTCAGAAAATGCCTAGAATCTGTGCCTTATGACAGTGAAATAATTTACAATCAATTAATTTTCCTATACTAATCAGTGAATGTAAGGCAAAGACTAGGTATTGGTTCTCCTACCTATTTAAAACAAAGCAAACCAAACTTCCCCAATTAGACTAATGGTTACAATATATGTTGAAAGAGCATATCAAATTTTTGTGGTAATTGTGTGAAAGAGTGTGCAGACACTACCTTTAGCAGCTAAGAGTATAGAACCACTTGTGTTTTACATAAATCCCTCAAAGTTGTAGCATATGCCAGCTAAGTAATTGATGTATGCAGGAATTAAACTTGAATTTCTCAGTTCATTTACAGCTGCTTCTGAATGCAGATTTATTTTTTTTTTAGTCCTATTGACAAATCCAAAGTGTAATATTTCAACAAATTTTACTCCTCCCTCATAGATTGGCCCTTGAGTCATAAAATTATTTACTCTATAGTGAATTTGGCGCAGTAGACTAATCACAATCTTGTCATGTGCAGAAACACAAACCATATAATACGTTCTGTTTTGTGAAGTAGCTGGATAATACAATTTTGAAAATGCTGTGTATAGAAACATCAGAAATCTCTAATACAGCCATTGTTAGGAGATTTGTAGTTTTGTTTTTTTTAAGAACTGAGTAATGAGTTGAAAGCAATGAGTGCTATAATTCTGCTTTTCCTAAAGTCTGAAGACTCTATTGCTTTCCTGTACATTGCCTTAAAAGATAATTGATAAGGAAATTAAAATCTTTGTTTCAAAACCTAATTCACAAATAGGTCAAAATAAAATTTCGTAATATTGGAAAAACAGTTTGTACTTCTTAACTGCATTACCACTTGTAAGATTCATGATTCTCAAATGCATGCTCATGCGTACACACACACACACACGTTTTGTTGCTTACCAGTGGGTAGCACGTGAATTTTAGGAAACGTGTTTATACACTTGATTTTAGCACTTGAAAGATTGGAGCATGTGGAGTCATCTGTTCAAATGGAAGTGTATGTGATTGAGATCTCTAGATCTTCTAAGAGTGACTTTATTAAAAACCTGAATTCTCATTTGGACCCTTTACACAGATGTGCTGATAAGACTTTTGGAAATTTGGATAGTGATTGTTGTCTTGAAATTTGTTAGTAAAAAGGGATAAAAATGAACCTGGTTATAAAAATCGTGATTAGAGCTAACTTATTTGTGGAAGAAAATGCATTTCTGTTTTTAAAAATGTTTTTGATTTTTGTCTTATAATAATTAAGATCCTTTAAATGGTATTTGTATTGAACAACATGCATTAACATATTCCCAGCAAAACAAAGCTCAAATACTGTCTGCTATAGAAATCCAGAGATTTATAAAGTATAGTATTTGTGGAAGCCTTCAGATTGGTTACCACAAATATGGGAAATTCTAGTGATGCTGTTATGTATCACATTTTTTTTTTTTTTGATACAATTGTCTTGAGTATTACAGATCATTCAAAGTTTTACTGAGCTTAGTCGACCAGAGAGAGTGAAATTATCACAATTATCCTTAAATTATTATTTTTCCGTATTCAGAACAGACGTTAGAGTGTAGCTACCAAAACCACTCCAACTCTGTTCCTCCAGAAAACTATGCCAGAGCACCCCTTGGCTCTGAGGAGAGTTGAAGGGGATCAGTTGGTGAGGGATTTGGAGAACTCATTGCAGAGCTTTTGATTGAATTCTGTTCAATGCAAAAAGTAAAGCAAGCTACTAGTAATTGCTATTTTCACTTTATTAAACTCAACTAGAGGATGTGTTTTGTTGAAATAATTTTTATTTTATTATTACATTTTGATTTGTGTAATTGTTTGTCCCTTTTTTGTTACATTTTTTTTTTCCATAGCCATTCTTTGCCCCATATCTTTACATGCCAAGGTATTACCCTGGCAGTTCTCATCTCATCTCACGTCCACCACTAAAAACGAGTTTGTCCAGAGATCAGAACAATGGCCTAGTAAGTATTTTGAAGGATAATTCAAATACTAACCTTGACAGTAAATATAGTGAGTAATGAAAATGGAGGTTATTAATGATGATTCACTATTAGACAAGTACAAACTCTATATTATAAATATTTTAAGCAAAAGTGTTATTAACATGTAATGTAGAATGTATTTTGTTTTAACTTTAGAAATTCCTTACAGAGGAAAACCAATTCTAACATCCAGGTATCAAGATTAGAGGAGTATGACCTGTAATACTGGCATGAAAATGCCAACTGTACTATAGTAAAGAAATTGATATAGTGCAATATTGTAAAAAAAAGCGTTACTTGTAAATTCATGTTTAATTTTTTTTAATAATATAAATTCTGTGACATACCTGGAGAAGATAAAATGATATTCTTTAATGTTGTAAAGAGTACTAGAAATTGGAAGGCCAAAGTAAGAAGTTAAAAGGAATGTTTTAAGTATTTAAGTAAAACAAAATACATTTTATTTTAAGTGTGCATCAGTTGCAGCTTGGTTTTGCAAGTACATATACTTAAACTTTACCCACTGGAAAGAAAGAATGAGCAGACTTTTCTAGCTTCCTATAAAATAATAAAATTCCTGTTTAACAGTATTTACTGACAGATGGCTGTTCAAATGGAATTAAGAACTAAGGAAAGCTAAAAAAGTAAAAGCCTCACTTGTCAATCACTTTAATTCTAGGATATTGATACAATGAGCAAAGCTATTCAAAGGTGGTAAAATCTTTAATCGCTTAAAGAAAACAAATGTTTTTCTGTTGAATTATGTATTATTACGAGATCATTCTCATTCACTGTTAACGTCATATTTTTCTGTTGAGCCCTTGATCATTTTACCCAAACCATAATATTTTGTTGTTGTTAGGATGTTATCAAGGAGGATGCTGATGAGGGGCTTCCTTCACCCACAGACCCCTCAATGGTAAATGAGTAGTCATGTGGTGTGGAAATTTTAGCATCTCTGCTTTTTCAGCAGTAATGAGTCTGCATTAATCATAACTGCAGTTCACTAACACTGCATCAGTGGCTTTGGTGGGCAAATAGAGTAGTTGAAAACTAATGTAGTTCGTGAATGAACCTAAGAGCTAATATTTCACTTATAAGATGTATTATATTTTTCCCTGTAGTTCTCCCCTTACCTTTCTCAGTAGGTGTGGTGAGTTTTCAGTAAAGAAAATGTTGTGGTAGCTAAGTGAAGAATGACAGCTGGTCATTCAGCACTTAAATTTTAGGATGAAGTAATTGTGGGTTTTCTGCTTTAGTCAGCACTCTCACCTGATCCCTACTTCTTTAGTTGGTGACATAAAGCTATTGCAGTTAACATGGTATAAGGAAACTTTCGATAGAAATTAAAAAAAAAAACAAAAACAAAAAAACAAAAAAAAACACCAGTCATAAGCTTGTTCTTGAGTCAGAATGCTAACATCTACCTTTGCCATGACCTGTTTTTGTTTTATCCTAAGTATTTATCTTCTTTGTACCATGGAAAAAAAACCACACACAAATTCCAGAACTGTATTTAACTGCACATAACCTTCACTGAGCACCCACGTATCGGCAGTGCAATGGAAAATGTACCCTAAAGTTCTCTGCCACAGGTCATTAGTTACCTTGTATGAAGGGATGACTTTGGAGTAAGTTTTTCTTGTAGTATATTTTTGGAGATGCTGATGCCTTCCCTGTGTTCGATTCCCTATCTCAGTATCCCATTGTCTTCCCGGTCCTTTGCAGCTTATCAGTGCAAGGAGAAAAAGTAAGGACTTCTGAGAAAGTAGTGGAGTGATGGCTGAAGTGTGTGTGTATCTGTCAGTGTGAGAAGGGCCACAGACCTGGAAAAGTGGGATTTGGTCTCGGGGCAAAGCAGTGAATGAGCTCCAGCAGAAGACCTGGACTCAGTTGCTCTCCTGCTTGCTGCTCTGAGTGTGTATCTTAAGCACACATAGGCTGCAGTTTCAAACAGCAATTTAAAAGACTCATGGAAGTTATGTAGTCTGTTGGCAGTAGATAAGAAAATACAGGAGGGTAGAGCATTAAAAAGAAACTTTGAAATAATAATAATGGAGGATTCTATTAGATCTATTTTTGAGTTGAATTTATACTACTGTGAATCTGTGTAGTACAGCACATCAGATCATATGCTTTTCTAAGACTTAGCAATATTTAATGTACAGTGTAAATCTAAAAGTTTGAATTTTTGAAAATCTCTTGTGTAGCTGACAAGAATGTTGTTAGTCAGGCTATGGTATTTTGTGTGCCTGACAGGATGCCTCATCAGGGTTTCATTTATTCTAAAAACGCTTCTTTTGTAGACCTTATTGAAATTTCTGTGAAAGGAAACATACTTGTTTTAGTATAATCGTTACTGCAATTATCCATAGGTGATGTGTACAATAATTTCATCCAGCTGTTTAGGTAGCTGTTAATTGATGGGTCATTGTTACTATATACATGATACAGCTTTTACTTATTAAATGGCTTGGTGCATGCAAAGTCATGAAATAAACTGACAGACTGAACAAAATAGTTACTGAACACCAAGACGTGTAATTGGCTCGGTGATTGAAAACAAGAGGAGCATGCAGAATCAAAATTGTCTTTCATGCAAAACTGGCAAGGACCCAGAAACGTTGCAATTCCACTTCTGTGTAAAAGAATAAACATTATTTTGAATGTTTAAGTCTTACAGGGCATAAAAAAAGTTTCATCAGGAGTATCAATTTTTGTTTATACTGATCAACATTGCTACTCATTGCATGAATTGACGGAGCTGTGTTGAGGATGTTGCATGATGTGGTTAAGGCCCTGCTGTTGTTGTCAGTCTGACATTGGAGTTGACTGAGTTCTGAAATTTCAGATCCTGATCATTAGTCTTGTAAAATCTGTGTAAGTCTAGGATTAGTAGAAATCAGAAATATTTTGAGAGCAGCCATCCTGTATCAAGAATTTGACTTCTGCCACCTTCTATATTTGGATTCTGTTGCTGATGATAAAACTTGTCTATCTCAGACTGTAGTTTATTGTTCTTTACTGAATGGACCAAAACATAGGTCTCAAACCTATGCTTTACAGATACCATTTCTGTAGTATCAACATGAAGGTGCATTGCAAATTTTAGGTATCAGCTTAAATCACTAATGAAAATAGTCTTGACTTAGGATTTCAGCATTTGCACATCTATGATGGAGGCAAACATGAATTTCTGGTGATTTTACTATGCAAATGGTTATTTCTGAGTGGAACGGCAAAAACTTCAAGTGCTCTTCTGAATTTATCATTGGACTGTAGTGTTGCCAATATCTGTTCATAGTATCTATCCCCTATTATGTTAGAAATCAAACTAGCATTAGCAGTGGTTATCTGTCAGAAACTTAATGGTGTGCTTTTAGTTTGCATTGTTAATTATGACTTGTTAGGATGCAGCTTGTTGCAATGTAATTACTTTGTTTAGATGCATTTTTTGCATTGCATTGAATATATAATAACTTTAGATGTAGTATGTGTGCTTTGAGTGAGAGCTAACATGGCCTGGAGCATGTGGTGTAGATAAACATACAATACTCTTTGAGAAACTGGAAATGCTCTTCAGAAGTTTGAGCATGAATGAAAATGTGTGGCATGGGAGTTTTCCTATATGGATTTTCCACGTGCTTTTATGTAGCATTTTTGTGCTTTGAATATTTGTTCTTAAAAGTAGTACCTTTTCAGTTCTGTGGGTGGTGGTTTGCATTTTGGGGGGGCTGTGTGCTTAGATAGAAGTTTCCAAAGTTATTTGAGATACATTGGTGGTATAATGTGATCTTGAAATGGCAGGAGAATGTTTGTTTAAAAACAGGGTTTTCCATCAGAAACATAATGTAAAACTTTTATGCAAACAAAATACAGCAAGTGTCACTTTTTTACAAGTGCAAAACTGAGTAGTCTGCTCATAGGAAAATAGTATTTGTATAGCATATACTAAATGTGTATTCTGAAGATCTATCTTAAAAGTTTCATCACATTATGGAAATATCCTACTTATGTCCTAACACTGATTTCCTCTGTTTACTTCAAAGCATGTCATCTGAATGTTCAACCTTTCTGATGTCACTTTAAGCTGTTGTTTCTTTTAATTCTGTTCTGTTGTTTTCTTGAAGCAGTGTAAGTCTGGGTTAAACAAAAACAGACAGGTACAGCCACTTTCTGTGAATTATCATTCACTTCTTTCAGAGTCATTTCAGAAGCTATCATACTGGCGCTTCATGCTGGGCTGTCTGTAAACTAATGCTCATTACTAGCCTTGAGGTTTGTTTTGACAAGCTGCTTTTAGCTTTTGCATGGCAAATACTTTTCAGAGTAATGTTCTATAAGCATCTCTAACAAAACCACTAAGGCTGAAAAATGTGTCAGTTTAAGTACAGTTTTAATTCACTTACATGATGACAATATCCCTAAAGCTATTACATTACTTATTCTTTGGAGAGTGCTTTTTATAAAGAATGATTTGGATTAATGTGCATCTATTTCAAACAGTTCACACTTTAACAAACATAGTCTAAATATTTTAGAGCTTTTCTGTGTTTTTTTTATACACAGAAGAGTTTCTAAACTAACTCTTAATGCATGCAGAAAGAATGACTTGTTCTTGATTGTTAAAAAAATATTTTGATCTGAAGAACTGTTAAATTAGAAGCGTTTAAAACTTTTTTTCATTTATTTTTAGATATATGACAGACAATGTATCTAATAGATTCAGAGAGCAAAGGCAGTTGCATACACATATTGCTTAGGGTTCATTTATTTTAGTAGTGCCACAATATAATTTGGGCTATAACAATTTCTTTTATTTTAATTGATAAGCTTTCTTTCAAAAAATAATTAAGACTTGAGTTAATTTAATACCTTTTCTTTATTGATGTATTATCTAACCCTTACCAATAGTAAATAGTGTTCTTATGAGGAAATAATAGTCAAAACTGGTATTCTGAAGAACAACTCTTTTTATAAAGTAGAAAATTAGAAATACACATAAAAGTATATGTTAAATAGTTTATGGATGAAGCTTCTTCCTGTCATCTTCATCAGTTTGATGGTTGGCTTATATCCTTAACTCGATAAAGATTTTAGCTGTGCTAAAAATCAGACTAGATTAAGACCTAAATTTCCTCCATTAGATGCATAATATGATAACTAATTAGGTATTGTAGGCACCTAATTAGGGAGACATTGCAGAATCTGCAAAGTAAATGCCTTGTCCTCAAAAGGAATACCAAACCCCTAAATTATGTGCCTGGACTGTAGTGATATTATAATGCTTAATTTTTATGCAATAATTTAGGTAGACTACCTACCCAGAAAATGGGGTACATCTTTTGTTTGTTTCGTGTCCAGTTGACATCACGTTAAAAAAATATAAATGGTCAAAGGAAGAAAGGTTAGTGCCCCAGCTCTGTTTTCAGGCATGTGTGCAACCTGCTAGGATTAGATTCCCCACAGCCTCCTGTAGTGTTCTTAAGTGAAGTTGATAGTTTGCCAGTTTTAAGGCCATTTCAAGTACATCTGGCAGAGAATTTCAGAGGAATTACAGGTAATAGCATCTGAACTTTGAAACTCTGAGTACTTTAGGTGGGGAGCGTGCCTATCTCCCCAGATCGGGGTATCTCTGATAACAATAAGTTGAAAGTAACTCTGAGGTTAAATGGTAGTAGATAATGTGGGTTTGGCTTGCTGCCTTGGAATTAATAGTTGAATAAATTCTTCTTAAATAGCCTGGTTTAGATAATTCAGATATGGTTAATACCATTCTGTGTGATAATCCTTGGCTTTCATAATATATTTGGATCTATTCATTTATATTAATTCTGAAAGATGAAGTAACCCTGAGGTAATTAAATAAAAATTAGAAAAAAAAAATATATTGCAACTATAAAAGCAGTCTTCATCGGTGATTTGAGGAATATAGTCAAATTTGATTAACTGAACTCTGGACAGTCAAAATGCACTTTTACATGCCGGAGTTTATATGCATGGGATGATGAGCTCTGAAGCTTTGTAAGCTCTTTTGCACTCTCCTGAGATGAGCTTCGTTTACTCTGTGGTCTACAGTGCTGAAATCAAAACCACACATTCAGAAAAAGGGGAGGGTGCAACCTCCCCCCCAGAAGGATGGCATGCAACTATTTCATAGGTGATAGAACTAGTTATGATTTTGCTTTTAGAAATTTAGAATCACTAGCACAACTGTTGAGAGCTTTGCACTTTGCTTCTACTTAATGCATAGGTCCCCATCCAGGGAGACTGTGAGTTTTTCTGAGAACATACTGTCTTAGTATACTGACTGTCTGCAGATGCATTTGTTTTGTGTTTCCACGCTTTCTTTGAAATTCCCAAAATCTGGCAATATTAACTGGACAACTTCTGTGTTACAGATCTGAGTTGTGAATAGTTTCTACCTAAATCTTGCCAAAATTTGAGATACATGAAGCATCCTCATAGTATCTTGAAGGGCAGTGGCAGTGCTGCTCTGTGTTTCGGTGCTGTGATACACAGTGCCTTGGCTGATCTTGTGTAAATGGAGCTGAAGGAACCTCCAGAAAATGGACAGATGTTGCTAAAATTACCCAGTGATTCCAAGTAATTGAGGAGTTATGTTTTAGATCAGCTTTGTCTGATACTAAACCAGGAGTTTTAAGACAGGAAAGTCTAAGATGTGTCTGCATTATTCAAAAGGCAAAACAAAACAACAAAAAAACCCAAACCCAAGCTAACTGCTAAAATCAGGGGGAAACTCTGAGTAAAATTTTAAATTTTAAATTGATTAACCCTTTCTTAGTATTTCTGATTTTTATGTTACTTTTTTTAAATAACATTATTTAAGAGAGTTATTTTCTCACATAGGCAGGACTCAAGATGCTGTGGTTTTTCTCATATAAATATTTCCCATTACATAGATACTCTGATAGTAATTAAAAATGCCTGTGCATTCTTATTCTCATCTCTTAATTTTAAAATGTAGTTGAACACAGCTTGATTTGTGTTAGTGCATACTGTGAAATTCCGGGTGTACTAAGTATTTGAACAAATCTTACGTGCACGTTTTCTCACTTCTTACAGGGAGCAGGAGCAGGCACAGGATCGACCGCAGGAGTATCACATGTGTCTTTGAGCACAATGAGTGTGGAAGCTGTGTGTGAGAAGCTAAAGCAGATAGATGGTCTGGACCAGAACATGCTACCTCAGTATTCTTCAACTATAAGAAAGGTACCAGCTGAATTTTGTTAATGTTTTTAGTACCTGAACATGGAGATACGCAAGGAAAAGGAAATATTCGGATGTCTCTTTTTTGGAAAGTGTTTATTGAAACACATCAAAAGTCAAAACAGCATCCTATCTTCTCTATGTGCTAAGTTTGGAGGACACTTTAATACAAGCATACATTTTTCAGAGAAAATTCTGTCTCAGAAAGGAAAAAAACTCGGAAATATAAATGCTGATGAGACTAGTTATTTTGAGAAAATAAGCAAAAAAAAAAATCAACCACAATAAAATGTTTTTAAAATTGCCGTATGTAGATAATAGGGTTGCAAATGTGTTCTATATCCAGGTAGCAACATCCTTTTTTTTTACCTGCCCTGAGAAAGTGGCACATCTGTTGTAAGTGAGCAGTGAAGATGGTTCCATTTCGCTCTTACCACATACGACATCTATTTGCTTCAGAAAAAGGCCACTGTACATTTTTCTGTTACTTCTTTTTTCTCTCAGACATTAGCAAAGAATCATTTTTGTCTTTATTACTTTTTTTCATCCTTCTGCATGCTCCTTCTACAAAGAAAGAAGGGAAAAATATGAAGGCTGTCATTACTGAATGTTTTTGCTGATCTTGCTTTGTCCCAGTACCTACCATATCTTAAAAATACAGGGAGGATGTTGATTTGGGGATTAAGAGACAGGTTTATCACAGGAATCCAGTGTTGCTTAAAGCAAGAAGTAGGATGTCAGATGGTAGCTCATTAAGTGCAGCTGCAAAAAATTCCAGTTCCTTCAGTGGTTCTAGAGTGCTAAAAGAATGTGCTCATCAGTTATCTCTAATGAGATTCCTCTTATATTCTTGCATTTCTTACTAGAAGTGATATCATGTGAAAAGGAAGAATGACAATGGCTCAGCCTGGTCATTTTTATGGTTTGGTTAAGACTATCTGCTGGCATATGGGAACCAAACCATGGAGATTCCTCAGGCTGAGCAGAGCTTTCAGCTTGGGTCTTCCATTCTGTGGCTCCTCTCCTAAGACATGGTTCCTCTCTTATGTTCTGTCCATCCACTGATACATGGTATAAAGAGAAATACTTTTCCTTCTTATGTAATGAAATTGGTTCTGTATTGAACTTGGTGCCATTGGAAGCTAAGTACTATATAAACATGCCTAATGTAAGGAATTACCTTCCTGGAGTATAGATGGTGCTTAGGCACTTCCGTGTTGATCTCTGAATGAGGATGAAAATTAGAAGTCTAGTCGTCTATCCCAGGGTATTTCTGATGGTAGGAGGAACGTAAGCCTGTATTTATGCAGGGAGGGAGCTTAATGGAGATAGTACTTGATCTTAAATGTCTCACACTAGGGGTCAGATGATGCCTGGGACTTAACCATTTGATTATCTTCAGATATTTGGCTGTTTGCAGTCTGTTTGTGTTCGAGTCTGAGAAATATAGGCAGCTGAATGTGGTTTATTGTCTGTGAAATTTTCTACCACTGATGTGTTGTTTCCTTATGTCTGTTTATAGAACACAATCATATTGCCTTTCATGTACACATTTTTGATGAGTTTAGTATTTTAATTTTTTTCATGACACATAGTTTCTTCTTGTCCATCAGTAATCATCAATAAGTATTCTTTTACAAAAGCATGTGTTTATTATATTGGATTGGATTTAAGAGTGACATTGGAGAATTTTACCAGTAGTCCCCATCAGCATATCCAATTTTAATTGTCTTTTTAGTCTAGTACTGCCATGCCATAAGTCTTGTATAGATGATTTACATTATTTAGTTTTATCGTTTCAGGCAAATATAAATGGCCGTGTCTTGGCTCAGTGCAACATTGATGAACTGAAAAAAGAAATGAGTATGAATTTTGGTGACTGGCACCTGTTCAGGAGCATGGTAAGACTTTCTTTTCAGTAGTCAGGTCATCATAAATTAGTCTTTTTCATTATAAACCTTACCTTTTTTTCTTTCCTGTTGCTCCCTTGTTATCATCATCTTTAAGATGATAAATACCGTCTTAAAACATGCATGCATTTATTATTTTGCTGCTTTGTCTTTTTGTCTTGAGCACTTTAATGAAGAACGGATTGACTATGGATTTACATCTTAATTGATTGTGAACTCTGAAATTTTGCCTTCTCTTTTTGTAAGATCTGTCTTTCCTGTATGGTTTCTCTTCCCTTTTTAAATTTGCCTATTTTAATTAAATTATCAGAACTTAATTCTCTTTGAAGCCTCTGTACTACTGTTAAAAGTTAGGGAGTTCAAAGTATATTAGTGTGAGGAAGTGGACAGCCAAGCTGTTAGAGATGCGTGGCACACAATTGCATAAGCGTGATTTTTAAAGAAACATAAGCTAAAAATCAAGCCAATGAGATAAATGTACAATATTTGATCGACACATACTTGTATAATGTGAAAATGCTGCATTGAATAATATTATTGAAGCATACATACAGATTTTTGGTTTCCCCCATTTCCTTCCTCCTGATTTGAGAGTAAATGACAGTTTTACAGTGAGGGTTAGGCAGCACAGAGAACTGTGTTTTCTTTCAAGTATTTCTAGCATATTGCCAGTTTTCTTTCTGAGAATTACAGTATGACTCTGAACTGTGAAATCAGTCTTGAAAACACCAAAAATTACAATATGAGATTTATTGTTAGATTCAATTTGCTTAAACTATAAAATGGAAGTGTTGTTTTTGATCTTAAATTTACAATTTATCACTTACCTAGTTTTACAGTAATTTAAATGTTTTGTGGCGTATGAGTTCTTTTAAGGGTCTGAGCCATAATAAGATTAATTTGTCAATACAAAAAACGTCTTAAATATTAAAATGTGATTTACAGTAGAGACAATGAATGCACTAGGTCTGTGAACAGATTTTTATTCATACTTTTCTATGATCACAAGCACATATGCAAGTGTACTTTTACAGCTGTGAATTCCTTGTTCCTATTTTTAATAGAATTATTCTTTAACAATTTTGAGAACTTTTTCTATTTATATAATTACACTTATACTGTCTCTTTTTGTATGTTAAGATACTTGAAATGAGAAATTCAGAAAATCAGGCTGTTCAGGAGGATCCTCGTGGGACGACTGAGCATGTTACCACTGCGATTCCTCATAGTGAGCTTACTCGTCGTCCTGGGCATAGCACTGAGTTGCCTCACACTGAGCTTACAGGTCTTTCTGGTCAAGCTCCCTACACACTTAACTTCAGCTTTGAAGAACTCAACACAATTGGTCTTGATGAAGCTCCTCCACGCCATAGTAACTTAAGTTGGCAGGTATTTAATAGAGAAATGTATTCTGATTGCTTACTTCTATAGTAAAGGGGTTTTTTCCATTCTTGGATACAGAGAGGTCAAAAAATAAGTCTACTGTGACAGTTCAGGTACATTCAGTTCTCAGTCTTGTCAAAGACCAGTTTTGCAGAGATGTAAACTCTAACCACACTCTCTGAGTCAAAGGCTTTGTCTTTGCCATCTGAAAACTTTTCATCTGTTTAAGTAATCGCTCTTCAGGAGAAGAAAATCAAAGCTATCATGCTTTTCTCACCTTGCTTAGGGTGACATCCTGCAAGATTTCTGTTTATCGTACTATTCAGACTTTGTGTATGAAATAGTTTAGCTATGTGCTAGCCAGATGTTATGCCATGCAAAGGATTTACAGATACATTTATTAGGTTTCTTTTAAACAGACAACTACAGTGCTCCATGACATCAGAGCCTTGTCCTGACAATGCATAATCTAGTCAGAGACTCCAGAGCTGACTTCCTTCTCTAACTACAGTTTCTGCCTTAGGTTATGGTCATTTTCCTTTTCATCTCTGGATTTAGAAGTCTAAATTAGGAAATCTTGAAGATGCCTCAAAATAGGAGGACACCCCTAATTAGTAGCTATAGCTGATCTTTTTAATATTCAAAATTGTTGTTGAAAAGAGGCTTGGGTTGCATATCTCAGAGATAGATTTCTGTCCCAGATACCTCTGTGTGTGCGTTTGTGTGTGCACACTTCTGTGTGTTTGTAGGATACCAGTTACCCTTACTGCTTATGTCCAGCAACGGAGTATCAGTGTATGTTTTTCAAAACCAAAGTGGCATGACTCAAAATTGTTATGTTGTTTTTGTGTCAGAAGCACAGAAAGAAATACAAGAAAATATTTTAAAACACACTTTAAAATAGAAGCTCAAATAAATAGTGCTTTTGACGCCCATATAGTTATCTGAAGTTAAATCAGAAGAATGAGAAAGGTAGTTTGTCCTTAAGAAAACATTAGAATTCGCCTGTTGGAATTTTTAAAGTTGATATTGATTAAAAAAGAATATTGCTGCTTCTCTGTAAAAATGAGGAGTTCTCGTAGAAATGCACGATGAAATCAAATAGTTCTCTTTTTGGCAAGTAATCATAGCTGCTGTGAGTATGGATAAATAGTAGTGAATATGCATAAATAAGCAAGTGTTAATATTTTGGAGATCCTTGGATTTTGTTTTGGGTATTGAATTGTTTATGTGTCATGTGAGGTTGGTGTTTAAGTGACGACTCCTTTAGTTAATCTGGTTTAACCGTTCCCCAATATTCTAGTGTATATACAACATTATTGATCTTATGAAAAGCTGTCAGTAATACTTGTTTAGTAACATAGAGGGAATAACGGAATGGTAACCTGCAGACCTTGTGTATGTTGCTTGCTGGGGAGATTATGGGCATCTTCTGAGAAGGAAAGAAACCTGCTAGTTTTCATTGCATTCCAGTGCAAAACAAGAAAAAGGAAAAGGTGATGGACAGAAACAAGAAAGATAAGAAGGATGCATATAAGAGCAGGAAAAAGGTGGAGGGAAGGGAGAAAAGATAGAGGGTGGAAAAGAGAAGGGTGAACCAAGAGGGTATATCTATATGATTAAGCAATTCTGTTCTAAATCTTAAATTCATTTATGGTGTTTGAATCCGTACATTGATTTTCCTGCTTGCTAAAATTACCCAAGCCCTTTTAGTTTGTTTTTTTAGTAGTGTTTCTAATAGAAGGTAGTTTTTTGACACATGGTTCATTTTCAGTGTTTTCTCAAATACAACACAATACCTTAACAGTCTTCAAAATCTGATCTCTTGTGAACTGCAAAGTTGAGTAAGTTTCCTGAAATATGTAATGCTTAAGTTAAGTCAGTACCTGAGCTCCAATGCACTGGGCCCCATGCATCTTTTGCTTGGTGGTAGTGAGAAGCCTGCTACATGCATGACACCAAGCTGTATGTTCAGCCACAATCCATCCCTTGCCTTGTTCAGCTCTGTGCTGCACCTTGTTTCTAGCATTTGTCAGATGGCTTACTATTCTGTGCCTATGGAGTTCTCCATGTGAACACTAAAAGAGAGCAGAGGTGGGGGCAAAAAAGGATGTGTTTGTCTGAGAACTGATTTTTCTGAAATCGGCTATATGCAATGGAATTTTTCCAGGGTACATTTGAAGTATGTCAGATGGGGATCTTTTAAAAATGCTCTTGAAAGGTGTTTATCGTTTAGGTGAACTCTTGCTGTCTTTTTAATATAAAATGCTAGTTTTGTAAATGTACAAAAATGTATTAGAAAAGCCTGTCTCGACACACAGATTTGTTATAATTGTATGCACAAAAAGAGTTAGCCTCCAATGCACTGGATAAAATCCTTGTTTTGTGGAAAACTTATGCTATGGGGACCAACAGTAGTAATACTTAATGAGTTTAGTGAATGTGTGTGATTGCATATATGTGATTATAGTAAGCATATTTTAATTATAGCATTGACAGATTCTCTTGCATAATGTATTTGCAACAAAAATACATTTAAACACATACTTGATGCTTTGAGTTATTTAATTTTTAAAGATTAGTAAAAGTCAAAATAAATAGTTCATTTAACCTGTTCTCTCTCTTTTTCATTTTCTTTTCTTTTTTTTTTTTTTTTTTTGCAGTCACAAACTCGTAGAACTCCAAGTCTTTCAAGTCTTAACTCTCAAGATTCTAGTATTGAAATATCAAAGCTTACTGATAAGGTACAGGCAGAATACAGAGATGCATACAGAGAGTATATTGCTCAAATGTCACAGTTAGAAGGAGGTGCCAACTCTACTACAGTAAGTGGTAGGTCCTCCCCTCATAGCTCAAGTGCTTTCTATATGGGGCAGAGTACATCAGGGGGTTCCTTGCATTCCAGTGCAGAACAGGAAAAAGGAAAAGATGGTGAACAGAAACAAGATGATGGAAGAAAATCCTTCTTGCTGAAGAGGAATGATGTTGATTACAGTACTTCAGGTGTTTCTACTAATGATGCATCTCCTTTGGATCCCATTACTGAAGAAGATGAAAAATCTGATCAATCTGGTTCTAAGCTTCTCCCAGGAAAGAAGTCTTCGGAAAGAACAAGTATTTTCCAGGCTGCAGATTTAAAGCTTAAGGGCGTTACTCTCCGGTATCAGAAGCTTCCAAGTGATGAAGATGAGTCAGGAACCGAGGAATCAGATAATACGCCACTTCTTAAAGAAGGTAAAGATAAGAAAACAGATGGCAAAATAGACAAACAGCCCAAATCTCCAGAACATGGATCTGAACCTATTAGAACCTTCATCAAAGCAAAGGAATATTTGACAGATGCCCTTTTGGATAAAAAAGATTCGTCTGATTCTGGTGTAAGATCCAATGAAAGTTCTCCAAATCATTCCCTCCATAATGAAGGAGCAGATGACTCACAGCTTGAAAAGGCAAATCTCATTGAGCTTGAAGATGATACTCACAGTGGAAAGAGAGGAATTCCACACAGCCTTAGTGGCCTTCAAGATCCAGCAGTGGTTCGCATGTCTATTTGCTCAGAAGATAAAAAAAGCCCTTCTGAAAGCAGCTTGATAGCAAGTAGCCCAGAAGAGAACTGGCCAGCTTGCCCGAAGGTCTATAATTTAAATAGAACCCCTAGTACAGTGACCTTAAATAATAACAGTGCTCCAAACAGTCGCGCTAATCAAAATTTTGAAGAAATACAGGGTATCAGAGATTCACCTCAAATTATCCTGCACCCTGGCTCAGGTTCCAATTCAACTGCAGTTCAGAATGAGAACCTGAAGAGTGCTGCTCACAAGCGGAGCCAGCGTTCAAGTTATACCAGGCTTTCAAAAGATTCATCAGAGCTCCACACTGTTACGGCCTCAGAAGGGGCTGGTTTTGGAGAGGAAAGAGAGAGTATCCTGTAATAAGCAGCCAGGTTAAAACAGAGTATGCCCATGAACTGTAGCTTGCTTGGAATTCTTTGTCAGTGTGTGGTTACATTAAGCTCTGTAGTTTAAGCTTTTAATATTGTAATAGAAGGTCTAGATTATTTTCAGTCAATTACTTGGAGAGAAATAATTTTTACAAGAAGGAAATTACTTCAGACCTTCCCCACTAATAAAAGTAGTACATGTCAGCATGGAAAACTAGCTCTTTTTTAAATAACTGTGCAAAGGTTTGGTCAGGGACAGATGTTTCAAAAGTATGGTTTAATTATTGAAATTATGATGTGATTTTACTTTTCTGTTGGGATATGTATTACTTATCCCTTCTAAACATTCCAGTTAAGTTTGAGTGCTTGCAAGTAAAGTTAAGACTCTGTATCTCTACCATATGACCTAAGAGATGCTAGAAGATTAAATACCGCAACCTGTGACACCCTTATTAAACTTTGTGTTAATTAGTGGATTAACGTGTGCAACATATATTACATATGTTGAAATTTGACTGTTAAGATACCTGTTTGGCTATATGTACACTTTTACTCTGTATGTTCAGTAATTGCTATTGACTTTGTGGACTTTGGGTAGGGTGATAAGGTTTGTAAGGGACATTGTCTTGATGTGTCATTGGAATTGGCAGTTATTTATAAGGTAATACCTTATCAGTGGTTTAGTGGAGCCATTATTTATTATAGGTACATAATTTTACAGTCACTGGTCTAAATAGATGTAACTACCTGAGCTACATTAAAATATTGTAAGGATAAGGTATGAATGTGATGTCTGAACTAACAGTATCTGTTGCTGTGTGTGATTTTCCTTGGTACAGTGTTTATCATTTGGTTATGGAAAGAAAACTAAGCAGTGTTTTCCATTTTAAAATAAATGTATACTTTTTGGAATCTTGTCAGAGCTGTATGCTAGCTTCTTTATTTCTGAAATACAGTGTTTGAAGATTTTTATGTCATCGAAGTAATGTACCTGAATGTTATTGTAGCAAATACTTGTACTGTCCAGTGAATCTGCATGTTTTTAAGAATTAACTGTTCAAATTAGACTCTGGTAGTACAAAGAGAATAAAAAAATAAATTGGCATGTTGGATTTGTGTCCAAATTTCTATTTATTGTGGTATTTTGTTTCTTCACTGGATAAAAATGTTACATTCATGTTGTTTTGGTTAAAGTACTTTTCAGATTTAATTAAAAAGAATGCATTAAAGCAACATTGTTATTAATACGGTACTAAAGAAGCATCAAGTATAAAAATACATTTGATAAATGGAATTGCCAAAGCAGACCTTTCTAAAGGAAGTGCTGTGAGCTGCAGAGATGTGGCTGCCTCCCGCTAGTCCGAAGCAGTAATCCTGCTGTGTGCAGCAGTTACCATGTGCTGGTGGTTCTGCGCAGCTTTGTTTCAGCCCTAGTGCATCTCCAACCAGATGCCTCCAGCGGGACCATGTGGTCGTGGCCTTTGTTTTCCAAATCAAGAGGATGCTTTTCTGTGCCAGAGTCAACAGAGAGAAACTGGCTTTTTCTAGGCTCTTTGTTTTTTCAATCCATCGATGTCTTGTATTTACGGGACTACAGACGTGATCTGTATGTTTTTGGATTCTGTTAAATTGGTGCATTATTTGACTGAAATAAAATTTACTCATCAGAATGTTACAGAAGTACTGGAAACCTGTATGCGCACATTTTTATCTATTAGAAAGGTTATTAGTTTAACCAAAAACCCTCCCAAAACAAAATAAGCCCCCAAAGCATGTGTAGTTTCATGATGTTTTTCTGAATCTTTGGGAACAGTTTTTTGATTTAGGTTTTTCCTATTTAAAAAAAAAAAAAAAGCACATCACTGCTCTCTGAAATTTTTGGACTGTAAAAGCTTTATAGAAAGATACTTTCAAGCATTGTTTTGTAAGAGGGGACAAGAAGTGTAGCCTTCTTCATTTAGACATATTCCTAGTATTGATGAAAGACATCAATTATCTCGAATCATTTTGTCTGTTAAAGTCCTCCAGTAATCCAAATGGTTGAATTTTAAATTTTCATAGGGTTTTGAGATCTTTTTCTTCCTGAAAGTTTTATCCTCGAGTTCTTCATAAAGTACCAAAATTGGGTAGGTTAGTGGAAAACTTTCCACTGTTTCTATCTTGCATTCATTAATATCAGTGTAATTGCTTACCATCACTAAGAAACAAAGTTAAAGGCAAATTGTCTGTGTAAGATTGTACGGGGCTTAATGTAATGCTCTCTTTGAGTATGTAGGTCCATGCCCTGCATGGGATATGGATACCTAAAATCATTTCAGTTTCAAACAGTGGTTCAGTCCTGCTTCCTTTAAATGCATTACATGGTAATGTGTTCTGTAGTTTATATAATCAGATGTGTTCACAGGCTTGTTATTTAATGCCTTCCTAGCAAAGTTCCTAGAATCAGCAAAACGCAAGTGCTTCATAGCCAATTCAAGGACAGTATGCTACAAAAGCTGTTTGCTAATAGGACAGTAAATATAACTGAACCTTAGAATCTACTTACATAAAAATAGCTAGACAGAGTGCATTTTTTTCTTCATTGAAGCATCTTTTTAATTTTTTTATACAGGTGTTCATAAGCAAACAGAAGAAAGTGTAGTACTCTGATAAAGGGAGAGAAAAAGAGAGAAGGCAGAAATGGAGTACTTAATACAGCACAGAAGTAAGAAGTGCCTTTTAGTACATAATGAATATATATGTTAGTTACTGTAGATGTTTAATTTTTTCACATGCAGAGTATGAAAGAATAGCATTTGCAAGTATTAAAAATACATTGCCGTTTCATAGCTGAAACTTGTTTTTTCTCTACCACAGTTGCTATGGTTACTAGCTTGCTTAGTTTGTTGCACAATTCTTGGAGTTAAGAAACCATAAACAATTTCCAGTGTTGAAATATTAAATGTTAGCTCTGTGACTTGTGGGAATCATGGATCCCAATAATTCCATGGAGAATGGAAATGAATGAAGAGTATAAAACAATAAGACAACTGCAAACTTATTTCTGGTACTCACCACTTTCCAGAACTCTTGTAATGATAGTTTATGTATCCACTCTAATTTTGGATGACTGAACACTGCGGGAACTTGAAACCATTACTTTTTTGCCTTACTGAAGCTGAAGAGCACAGTTTGGCTTGTCCTCTTGTTCTGATGCCTGGATGTTTGTATGGTAGGATGAAAATAAATCGGTTTTGAAAGGAAAAATTGGATGCAAGTAACATTCCAGGATTTATGTGAGACTCATATGGCTATTTGCCAGCTTTTTCCAGGGTTACAGTTTATGAGGAAGGGGAAGAGAGAAATTCTTACATCCTGCGTGTAAACCCTGCAACAAAATAATGATCTAGTAAAATTCTTGGAGATTCTGGAAAAAAGGTTTCCATTTTGTGCCTGTCCTGGTCAGTCTGAGGTATCTGATCACCCTGTATGACTTTGCCCATGCAGCAGAATATATATATGTGCTATTAATAAGTTTTCAGTCCTTAGCTTTCTGAATTTTTCTTTCCAAATACTGTTAATTTTCTTGTTTCTTCTCTTTTCTTTATATAATCTTCAGGAAGCTTTTCAAGGACACATTTAACATGGCTTTATACGGTATGCTGAAAATAGGTGGTTTCTCTTGTGGTCTGAGGTTCAGCTGTTCACTTCTGTCCACAGAATCCTCGAAGCCTGTTCTCTACCTTTGCAACTCCTGTGGGCAGCTTTCTGGACCTCACGGTAAGAATATGGGAAGTTCTTTGGCCACAAAACACACAGGCAGAAGATCCCAATAGTACCTGTTATCCATAGTCCAGCCTGTTGCACCCCATATCCTTGATAGCTTTATCATCTGCAACAGGTTTATTTAAGTTTCTAAATACATTACTAAGAAATCACCAAAGAAAATAATACTTGGGTATTGGAAGTCTTTTAACTAAACTAAAAGCCACAGTTGTGGTAAAATAGAAGTGGTAATACCTAATAGTGAATTTTCAGACACGTGTGAGAAATACAGCATTCTAATTAGTGTAAGATAAAGCCTGCTGTTAGGATTTGGGTCTTTTCTGTGCCAAATAATAGCTGTAGTGGAGAGAACTTGCAGCAAAATTCAAATTGCAGTTAATCAGAGAAGACTGGAAAGACTGTGCTACCCTTACACACTGTTTTCTCTTAGCCATGTGCATTATATTTTATAGATTTTGGTTATCTTTATTAAGGCCCATTTCGTCAGTATAAGGGCAGGGTGGGAATAATTTTACTTAGAATCTTTCTCCGTGGCAATACAGAACAGTTGCATGCATTTGACATGTACTCACAGGTTTCTGAATTTCAACAAAAATGAGAAAAAATAGGGAAATAGATGCTCAAAATTTGTAATAATATAAAGCATAAATAGTATCACACCATGTTTTCAACAGAGCTAGAATTTTTTAAAGACTAATTGGCACATGGAGACCTTTCAAACTATGTTAAAAATACTATTTTAGCTAATTAACATCCAAATAACTTTTTAATTAAAGATGTCCATCATGCTTGGATGGGGGATTTTTGTTTGATGGGGTTTTTCTACCTTAGGAAAGTTTTACAACCTAAGTAGGGTATAGGTTCTACAATAATTTTTTTTCCTTTCTTTTCTCCATTCACTTCCTCATGTCCTGGAAAATTCACAGGATATACATTTCCACAGTCCACAAAACTGTTTTTAAAATACAATTTGTCTGATATCTTTGTTGTGGACAGTAATGGACACATCTAATGAAAGTGCACTAGTTTATATCTGCCAGTGGAAAGAACCTTCAAACTTTATTTAGTGGGGGGAAAAACTGCTTCTTCGTTTCCTTACAAGTATTCCTAATGAATAACGAGGCAATGCTTGCTCATAAGATAAGCACAGTTGTTGGCTCATCTGCTTTGTAAGTAGTCTGTTAAGATTCTAGAGTTTAGGGCTGCACTCAGGAAGGGTTAATTTTCCTCATGGACCTCTAAATTATGCTTGATGATGCAGGTCTGAGTGGCACTGCAAATAATGTAATGCACAGGACATTTTAGCTCTTTCTTTGAAGTAATCTGAAGACAGACAAACTTTGAAGACTTATGTTCATAAGTGTTGATCTGGTATTCCAGGATTTATGATGTTCTGCGTTTCTTTAAGACTCAACAGCCAGCCTTTGGAGTTCAGGTATTTTTTACTCTGAAAGATAAAAAGAAATACTGATTTCTTTTTCATTTTCTATAAAAGACAAATCCTCAAACCACAAGCCTACTTAACCTGAGGACATATTTACACCTTTGGAATATAAAGGGGGCTTTAGAGGTTTTGTTGTTCCTAGATGCCTTCTGGTCTTAATTTTCAACATCGTCTTTTCAGTAGCTACTTTCAAGGTGTGATGAAGAACCATGAATAATTTCCTCTGTTTTTACCATCTGTGCTACCTTCTGCCTCTCTTCCATCTGATGACAGACTATCTCAGCTTTATCAGATCTTCTTATATGCTAATATGAACCAGTCTTTAATTTTGTAGTCCATGGCTACAGTGTTCAATAATTATATGTTCTTTTTTTTCTTTTTTTGTCCTACAGTCTTCACATCAATTTTCAAGCTTCCCTGTACAGTCATTTCTTTAAGCAGCTGATAGATTCTTTGCAATGCTGGGACCCATAGAACTAATTTTTCTGCATTTACAGTGCACATACACTTTACTCCCAAGCAGAAAGTACAATGGTGATTCATCCTGGATTTGCAAGAGAAGACATATATGCTTAAAATCAAAATTTGGGAGAGTAGTCCCACTTATGATATTTTCCAGTATAGGAATGGGACTGTTATTTTTTTCCTCATCCTTGAAAATATTTGGACTTTCAGAAAAAAATGCAAATTACTTGTGTTTGGACTAGTTGTCTTCTAGCAAAGACTTGAGAGTGATGATAGCTCATCTCAGATGGACCAGGACTCCTTTGCCTGAATGACTGGCTTCTAAAATCATAAGACCAGTTTGCTCAGGTTCTATGAAGTACTTCATCATCCTTCAGTTTTTTCTTTTTTAATTTAAGCGTCAGTAGACAACAACAACAAAAAAATCACCTGTATTTAAATAGCTTCTGG